TATATATATATATATATATAGTATATAGTATATATTCGGTAAATATTCCCATTTTTAACTTGAAAAGTCAATTTTCAGGCAAAGCATGCTTTTCGGCAACTCTTTTTCATTATTTATATTATTTATCACAGTCATTTTTCCCCTCCCCCTAGGTTGTGCTCTGTTTGGCCTGCTTGCTCGGCGTCATCTTCTATCGCCTTGTCATCCGAGTCATCCTGCTGCAGAACGACAGTGCCCTTGTCAACTCTCTGTCCGGCATCATCACAACCATCACCAGTTCGTGCATCAACTTGGCGTGCATTTATCTGCTGAAGTTTGTGAGTACTCCGCGTTCCGCTTCATCTCTGCTTCATCGCCCCCCCCTTTTGTTCGGCGTTTACTCGGATAACTCGTGGTTTGATTTTTCCCGCCTTCTCCCACCCCCTCTAGGTGTACGACAGAGTGGCCGTGTGCATGACGAATCTGGAGAACTATCGCACACAGTCGGAGTACGATAATAGCCTGACGCTGAAGCTCTACCTTCTGCAATTCGTGAACTACTACTCCTCCGTCTTCTACATTGCCTTCATCCAGGGCACAACTGCTTCCATTCCAGGCGACGACAGCGTGCCTATCCGCTCCTCAGGGGTGCGTTCAGTCTGTCCGTCTGTCTGTCTGATGTATTTATTTAAACACACCCAAATGTTTGGCGCGCAACGCATCAACTGGGAAGTACAACCAATAGGAAAGAGGAACTGCGCAAAAGTGCCCGCGAATTGGATACAAACCTATATCGAAATTTAGAGCTTAAAGTTAAACCACTTTACAACTCAAAATAGTTTTTGATGCATTCAGAGAGGTATTGTAGTACGATAAGCCGAAAAGCAACCGCATATCGCTTAAAAAGCTAAATCAAATAAAAAATTAAGTAAACTAAAATTGAACTAATAAAACAAATAATTAACGAAAACTAAACTCAACTACAACCAATAAAACGAAAAGGAACCACGGGAAGGTAGGTATGTCCGTGTTGAGGGCGTTGCAGTGATAAGCATAACTGCGCCTACTAAAACGCATATAGTAGTTACTTGAGTGTAGTTGCTTAACGTTGCCGAACAACTAAATTCTTACCAGAATGCATTTTAGGTTGACGATCCCGCTGTCAACAAAGTCCTAGTATAGGCAGATAGTGTTGTTGGCAGAGACAAGGGAGACCGGAAAGACCATTTCTGATTTATTAGCCGTCGTCAGCCAGTCCTACCCAGACCCAAGTGGTGCCCCACCCGAGCCTCGAACTTGCGACCTTTTTGATCAGAGTCAAACACCCTAACCACTGAGCCGTCTTGTCATTCAGTACGCAATTACGTCCTCCTAGAATCTTATATTTGTAGCAAGTATATCTTGCGGCTTTTAAAACCAGTTTCTTATTATGATACTTTTTAAGTCTGAGACCTCCATCCATATCTATGCATTCTTAACGCCATTTCTAAATTAGGCAACATTGTCTACATCCAGTCACGCATTTTATTAACGTTATGTGGTGTTAAGATTTTGTAGGTAGGTTGTACCATAATGCATCTTGTAACCCTTCCTAAGTAATTTTTCGGACCGAAAACAAATTTGAACAAGACGCAATTAGCTGTCAACTTAATACAAGAATGAATATGTATTTGCTTACTTTTTTTAGCAACATATATTTCAACTTATGAGGGCATAGTAAATGAGTAGAAATGATGCATACTACTTAAGTAGTCCCGTTTAGTCGAATGCTGTTTTTGCGGATGGCCGGAAAGAGGCCCCTGACGTAGGCTGGCATTTTGCCGTCGGAAGTTCGATAGCTCAAGCCCGCCCAGACAATCTTTCCTAATCGATAAAACAACTCGGAATTTTGCTTAACGTTTCCTGACACTATTCGTTGGTTGGGTGCGCATAGTTTGCAGACTTTTGTATCCTGTCTCACTCATTACGAACCGACATTCCACACACCCACACAAGACCACACGCAAGACAGTTCGACCGTCGCTCTCGACCATGTCCACCACGAGCCTCGGCAAGCTGAAGAAAAGTGGGGACTCCGGCAGGACTATAGTGAAAGTCGACTTGCGGAGAATCTACCTCTCTCACTCACCACTCTCACACCTGTACCCGATGTCAAAGCAAAAGTCGAGAAGACCGGAGAGGGCGCAGGCGGCTGGCGTGACCAACACTCCAACACGCGTTCCAACAGCACGCCTCGCTAGGTAGGCTCCCGCGTGAACGGGAGCGCTATGAAGTCCACAGTAAGAAGGAGCCATTGAGCCTGACTCTCACTCCACACAAAAAGATACACAGTGGGCCGACTGCGGTGTCCCAGTTATTTCGTCTATTGGCAACCCTCCAAGCCACGGCTTTTAGCGCACCGTGATAACTTCAAGCGCATCAGATTGATTATAGTGAGAAGAGCAGCGCGCTGAGGGTCGACCTCACTTTCTCCTCCACCGCCAGCAACAGGCCACCGCCTAGCTGATCGGTCATTTGAGGTGGGGTGGGTGCAGGGCTGAAAAGGAAAACAAGCCGAGGTGATCATTGTAGCGTAGGTTATGCAAGTGAGGGAGAAAAGAAGAAACGAGAATAGAGGAATGGAGAGAGAGAGAAAGAGAGGAAGAAAAAAAGACAGACGAGAAAGAAAACAAGAAAGAGAACGAAAACACAGCTTTCCTTTCACACACGCAGCTACCTAGCCTCCCTGGATTCCCTTGATTTGCGCACTAAAGGTTTCAAACACAAACCTCGGTGGTCTCATCTTGTCTGCTCTTCTGGCCACAGCATTCAGATCCGCCTACTTTCCCCCTCCCCTCGCCTTGCCGTATCTTTACTCGTAGAAGTGGCAACCAGTTTAGCAACAGTAGTTTACGCAGTGCACCTCATTAATCCCTAGTCCCAGCCTGTTTTCCCACGAAAACGGTGGTTATAGGGTTTCTGTGGGTGGGGAATTCGG